TTGGGTCTGTCACCCAGGAAAACAGAGCATGAGGGTAGCACCTGCAATAAACTTTACTGCAGAAAGACTTAAATCCAGTGATGCAGTAGCCTCTATTAAGAATAATGAGAACACTTGCTTTTTAAATACAAGTTTTTGAAAAAAGGTAGTAGGTTACAGAAGCTCAAAGAGAAAGTTTGGGAGAAAAATGGGGCATTACTGTATACAAATAAAGAGATACTGAAATACAGTTTCATGAGCTGATTATAGCATAAAATTATTACATTGAAGGAATAGTTAGTTCCCCTCTTGGTTTGCCTTTTTTTTTTTTTTTTTTTTTTTCCCCCTTCCTTGTCTTCTGGACCTACATTTGGTATCTTCAGCATTCCTCCTGCTTTTCTAAGTGGCTCATGGCTACTCTTTCCAAACACATTTTCATCCTATATCTTGGTCTTTCTCATGTCTTCTGCCTGTCCAAAGATTTTCTGAGCATATACCAATAGCTCATAGCAATCCTTTTACATCTAAAGTGTTACAATATCAAATGTCACAGTGTAAAAGGGGAAATAAAGCTTCTATTCTTGTCAGTATTTCTGGAAGAGAGACCCGTGTTTCAGCCTGTCCCTCAAACTGGAGCCAGTTTCTAGAGCCAGCTTTGCCCTCTTGATATCTGTGAGGTTCTAAGGTTGTAATTGTTGATGTCAATAACTACATTTGGGATAAGATTCCAAGGCATAAGGCCGAGTGTTTTCAGTGGCCTCCTCTTTGTCATGGTTCTCACTCTCCTGTTACCTTGGGTGTCGGTGTCAATTCTGTGCAAGAAATGGCTAAAATTACCTTGAGAACCTTGGCTAAATTCAGTCAATTTCCTGGCCTGTAAAGCCGTAAAGTAAGTCCCTGTACCATTAAAATTGTACCATGACCCCACATCTCATTCAGGTAACCTCCAAACCTCATGTGTGAGATCAAAAAAATGGTATCTTGGCCCACGTATCCTTGAGCTGTGTGTAAAGATCTGACAGTCTGAAGCCAGAGAGCCAGTTATGCAGAGTAAGTTTTAGCAGTTTACCTGCTATCTCAAGATCAAATGGCATCCTATTTTTAGTGAATCAGTTGCTCTTGCTAGGCACAGTGTGTTAGAATTATTTTCTCATCTTTTGGCTGAGATAAACAAAATTTAAAAATTAGTAGAAAAAAGAAACCATTTTAAAATAAATATTCCTTAATGCATGAGGAGAGAAAAGGGACTCTGGCTGGCATAAATCCCGTTGTATTATTATAGCACAGAGCAATGTGTTTGGGGAGTGAAGATCTGACATATATTTTTATTTTCAAACGTCATACTAATTTACATTACTCACCCCTTTAACTGCCAAACTGTAAAAGTCCATTACACTACTGAAAGGAATATACAAATTATCCCCTGGCACTTCAGGCAGGAGTTTTACATATAAGCTGTTATTCTATCAGCCAGCTAGCTGCATGATTCTATTAAGGAGTAAGTGAGAAAATTATATTGCCTGCAAACTAATTGTACAAAAGACTCTGAAATAAGTAATCAGAGCCCAGTCCTTTCTGAAAACCAGCCAGGAGATATTATAAATTGCTCGATCGTTCTTGTCAGACCAGTTTAAAGACTCAGAGCTGCCATGTTGGTTTTGTTCCCTGTGTAACAACGCTACCTCACCAAATGTTGACAGGGCTGGGCAAACTCAGTTTATACTCGTACTAGCTGCTCAGTTTCAGCCTCTAGCATCATGCAGTAGACAAGTAAATGGTAAAGTTTCCTTCTGAATATTCCTTGTTGAAATAAAATGCAGATCTGAGCATTCTGAATGGATGTAAGGTACCTATGTAATTTCATGGATTCCCAAACACTTATTAAAATAATTTCTGTTTCTTTGTCTTTAGTGTATAGAAGTAAATAATAAATTCTGAGAGCTCTAATGGCCTGCAATGTGCAGTAAATTCAGGTTTTTACCAAAAATATATCCGCTAATACTTCGAGTGCTAGGCAAAACACATTTTGCATATGACATAGATCCAGGTATATTTCCATCGCAAAATTCCATGAGTTTTTTTTTTTTTTTTTTTTTTTTTAAGGAGAGCTCACTGACAGAAATAGTCTATCTGTGGGGATATTTGATAAAATACTGCATTCATATGTTAAGTGGTGACAAAAATGTTAGTTTCCTTGAACTCTTACTGTGGTCTAGCCATATTCTAAAATGCTGAAATACTTTAGGGGAACCAAGCTATGGCTGTTGATAAGAAGTGGATCTTTGCTGCAGCAATCAGTCTGGCTACTGTAACTCTACTAAGTTCATTGGAGGAACTCTTTCCAACGTCTTCCAAGTTTATTTTCTAACATCAAAAATTAAGGTTAAGCATCTGCTGTAAAATACAGTTCTTTAAAGTACAGCAGCCTAAATTGATAGGAGATGGTTCCCCCTCTAAGCTAAAGTACTAGAGTCTAAGTGACTAGACTAATAGCTCATTTTAGAGTTCTTTAGGTGGCAAGAATTTGAAGGAAAAACATGTTAGGTTGACTGTGCATCATGTGCTGCATGCTACAGACCCTTGCTGTGTTTCACAGTATTTTACACAAAACAGACATGTCAGGGTATGGATTAGAAGTGTCTACTTAGGGAAATAAGCAATCTTGCTTATATTTTTTCTGGTTTTGAATATTATTTTTTTGTGTCAAAATTTGTGCCTTTGCACAAGGGCTCTAGCTATGATGAGAGTGCTCCACTTGCCTTGGTGTACAGAGCTTTGCTGTTTGAAGTTCTGTGTTGTAATCTTGATCTTATTTTTGATCAAGATCATTTCTAATCTTGTGCAAAGATATCTTTGATCTTGTGCAAAGCATTTCTGATTCACTGGGGTTTTTTTGTTGTTTTTTTTTTTTTTTTTTTTTTTAAATAGGGATGGTAATACATTTATTACTATAATATGATTAAGTTAATTCGTTACAATTTGTGAAAGGCTTTGAAGGTCTCCTAGTGTAGTGATTGTGCCTCACTAAGAATGCCTCATTAGGGTGTGAGGAGATAATGTGATTCTTTTTTTTTTCATGCTTGCCCTTACCGTTCCTGACTATGGATCCTTCCAGAAGTGTTACTTCCTAACTTTGATAATGCATATTGTAAAGTTCTGCAGGAACTGTTGTGCCGAATTTCCTACCCACCGTATACTTTAGTTTCTTAAATAGCTTTCTTCTCAGGAACTAAGGATGGGGAAGAGGACTAAAGTGAAGTTTGAGTTTTGTCAACAAGAAACATTAGCATTCACACATACCAATATCTGATTTACTTGCCAGCATTGCTCAGTCAGTCATGCAGGAATGTTCAGGAGGAGCAAAGCCCACAAAGGCGGGAGAAGGTCGTGCAAAGTATGCTGGTTTTATTAGCAGAATATACATTGCACCTCCTTTATCATAAATACTTAACCAATTTTCAGTAGTTCTAAGTAGTTTAAGTATTGCTTCCTGTTGAATTAGCAGTTGCTGAGCATTTGAGTCTTTGTGCAATCCTGCAATCCACTAATGTGATATTTAATGAGGAGACATCAGTCTGGAGAAAGGTAGTCAATATAAATCAGTGTTTACAAAGTGTGATTAACTCTGAAATATTTCATCAATGCTGTGGTCCCAGGCAGACTCTATGCTAATTATTAGAACCTGTGCATGTTTCAGGGGACTTTGACGGACCCTGAGTGCAGCAAACATGGAGCAGCAAAATTGCAATTATGCTCGGACTGTCTCTGATGACAATTTATGCATTTGGTGTGATGACCTCTTGCTTCCCAAGAGGGCAATAAACAGAATGCATTTTCATTAAGATACTAATGCACTTTATCACAGGGGGAAGGGGTTAGAAAATAAAGAAATACCTTTAAAGCAAGATGTGACAGGCTGATGGGGAAGATACTTTATTTAAAAGTCAGTTTCCTGGTGAAACTTCTGAGTGCTGCAAAGTCTGTCATACTGAATGTAGTCACGGGCAATAGGATGCATGGCTGGGCAGGTGAATAAGCTGAGCTAAGCTGTTTTGTGAAAAGTGCAGTGGTACTAGGGCAAAAGAGAACAGATGTTCTCCCATTTGGACTTGGATACCCAAAGATGTGATTTTTAAAAATGTAAAGAAAATTGCTCGTATCTTTTGCCCATTAATTTTCAGGGTTGTTTTTTTGTTTTGTTTTGTTTTGTTTTGTTTTTTTTTGTATTTTTGAGGATAAATAACATGTACTAAGCAGTAACAAAAAACAGTGGAGAGACTGCTTTGCCCTGGAGGGCGTACATTTAAGGATCTGGCTTGTTCTAGGCCTTAAGGAGAGTTGGAGAAGTCAGAGGCAAGCATCTACTGCAACTTTTGTTGTTCTGATAACTTGTTAGGAATGATTTTCTTTCTGATACCTCTCAGTACAAGAACTCTGTCTGAACTATGGAGAGGAGGAGAGATGTCCTGGCTGAGAGGTCTGACCAGGCAGCTGTAGAGCATGCTAGATGTGGGGGTAGCAATGCTGGTGAGTTCTGCCTGACACACTGTGCCTGCTGTTGTGGAAGAAGAAGGGTGAAGCTCTGTAGTACCTGTGACAGTTGATTGTGCAGTAAAGCACAACAGTCTCCTTTTCCAGTTCTCGACAAAGAATGATGAAATTGCTGAAAAAAAAAGGAAATGAAGAGTGCTCAAACTAGCATGTGGCTTAGTATAGACAATAAATGACAAAATTTCCTCCTCCTACCAGCAGGAATAACCTACATGAAGGACTAATTATGGAGCCAGACACAGACTCACATTAATTGTGGGTTTGTATATTTCTTTTTTCATATACCTCTCTAGCTTTAAAAACTCAGCTTTCCATTTTTCCTCGAAAGGTGTTTCCTTTCTGTAGCACTGTTTTCTCTTGATATATTCCAAATTAAACACAACAGCAATTGTATGAGTCCTTTATATATGCACTGTGTTGATTAGTCAGTGATTCTGAATACCTCTCTTTTCCTGTACTTTCTACTACAGGTAACATAGAATACAGCTGCCCAGCAACGAATGAATGTGAAATCACAAAGCGCAGACGCAAGTCCTGCCAAGCCTGCCGCTTCATGAAGTGTCTAAAAGTTGGCATGCTGAAAGAAGGTAAGACTGATAAAGTCAATACGTGTGTCTCTGCAAACGCATGCAACAATTGTAGGGCAATCAGGAAAGAAGAGAGATCAGTGAGTGTTCTAATCAGTTATTATAAAGGCAATTTTCATGTATGCTTGCTCCTCCTGGCAGTCTGTTTCTAAGCTATGGAATCACGGTGTATCTACATAGAGTTCATCTTCTCTGGAATATTTCTAACTATGTGTAGCACAGCAAAATGTACCCCAGCTTTCAGACTCCTTCAGGAGGTAACTAACAGAATAATCATCAGAATATATCCTCTGATTTTCCTTAGTGCTTTAGCATCATGAATTCTCAAAGATTTCTTTCCTCCATTCCTTATCCACTGTTAGTCTGTTCCAGTTCTGTCAGAAACACACACTGTACCTTCTTTTCCCAATTTTTCCTCAGTCTTCATTTTATCAGGACAAACGAAAGGGTTACTTCTCAATTAAACAAGGATAAATATTGAGTACATCTACTGAAGTTACTGTAGCTACACCAGAGCAAATAATGGCATACAGAAGAGGAGAATCCATCCTTCCTTTATTTTTTTTTAAGCATGTGAGTACCCATGCCCCTCACTGTAAGTATATGTTGAGTGTTTTAATTCATCAGTGACATTTTGAAGATGCTGAATAACAGGTAAATATAAGAAAATGTTTCCAGGAAACAGTACTATCTCACCTGGAACCTGATTCATCTGTGTTACAGAAAGAAGCAATTCCTTAAATCTTGGTCACCTACTGTGCACTTCTATTGCTGTTAATGTGTATGCAAAAATATGCTTTTATGTCCATATATTGTATACATTATTATTGTAGTGCACTATTACCACCAAGAAAGAATAACAGAAGATGTCATGGACTTCTGAGCTAGATAACCTTTTAAAATAAAATCAATGTAATGTTTTCTAAATACTGTCTCCAGTGGAGAGTACTTTGTGTTAAGCAACCACTTTAAAATAGTACCATGCAATTTTGCTTTGCCGGTGCTTAAAGAGTCAGCTTTAATAGATGGCTGATTTTTGCAAATTGTTTGATGGTAATTTAAAACAGGTTTAAGTACACAGCTATCAGGGTAAAATCCAAGAACAACATAGACCAGTGGAGAGGTGATGGACAAATTAGACCTATCATGTACCTACAGACATATTCTTATTGGATTATACTTGCTAAGAATAAACCTTGTTCTGTGCAACTGCTTTGGCAGATGCTATGATCCTGTGAGCCAAATCCTGCTGTCCTTAGTCTTACTTGAGCAAAACTCCTGTCAGATTCAGTGGGGATTTTGCCTCAGTAAGAATGGCAGGATTTGACCCTCTCTTCCAGTGGTGATAGGAGGGTTCTTTACTTGCCAAAATCCTCCTCATATAACTGACCACTAGGAGCAATTTTTTAAAGGTTAAATTGTGATGCTTAGGTAAACTCTAGAAAGAAAGGAATGTCTGAGTATGGCACCTTTTGAAAGGGACTGTGCTTCTTAACATCTTTTTTTAAGAAGTTAAGACCCCATAGCACTAGTAACCTAATATACATATAGTGAGCAACTTGTTTGGAAATGAAACAGTGCTACCAACAGTACATACAGGTGAATTGGTTTAGACCTTCTCTTTTAAATTTTGAGGGCGCCGTTACACATCCATTAACATATGTATCTTTAAAAATCAAGTCTGTCTGCAGCTTCTGGGACTGCATGAGGAAAGTAAGTGACTCTTCTACGAATGAGTAATTATCTCAGCAAAATTATGCACAGATTTACTGGTTTTGAATACGATTTTGGTAACTGAGATAATTTAGTTAGACAATTCAGATTCACATTGTGAATCAGATTTTTTACATGAATGATCATTTTCCATGGATGCAAATCAATCCCACAAGTTTCCTTAGTCAGAATTTCATAAATTGTCTACCCTAAAAGTACATACCCTTTTTTTTGAAAGTTCTACAATGACAAAATAGCTAATTCCTTTTCAAAAGAAGTTTCCTTTGTTAACCCCACTCCTGGGCGTATCGTAATTCTTCCACTCTTATTGTGTAAGTTTTTCTGTCAAAACACAGTAGGATTTCTACTTATTTTTAATTACGGAGTCTTTTCACCTAGGGGAAAGTTAGCTTAGCTTCTTTTCAGATATTGCTTATCTACTACCTAATAGGACAACCGAAAAGAACCTACTAGGGCGTTTTGTTTTCTTTCCCCATTTAGTGGCCACTTCTACTTTTGAAACCATACTGGTTCATACTGCACTTTTAGGACTGTACTTGCAATAGAGATATTTTTCTTTTGTTCTTTTTGGAAGGTAGTTTTGGAGGCAGGTGTTGCTATTTTTACCTATGGGAAAGTCTGGAGATGAATTTTTGGCTTTGACTGCATCCTTTATGCACAGAATGAAGAAAGATGATATACTTACTTCTTTCATGCGTAAAGTGGTATAAATTTATTGATTAGCATGGACTTACACTGAGCTGAAATAATTCCTGCTGTATTTTAAATGTTTCCTTATGTACAGACAAGGATTTCAGTCCCTTGCAGCATGTCAGAGATCATGCTGCAGTAAATCTATTCAAATGTAAACCTGTTCAATTCAATTACCAGTTTATAATAAAATTTGCTGCTGCAGTCTCCACGTTTGTCACAGCAGTCTCTACATGCTGATGGCACAGCATGCTTGGAAATTGACAGCCTAAATCTATTTACAAAAAAAATTTAGTTGCAGACCTGAAATAAAATCAAGTTTAAGCAGCTTTGAGAAGAGCATCATATTCCTTACAAGAACTTCTGCACATCTGCCAGTGTGCGTCTTCTCCAGAAATCTTATCCTGTTAGTGGGGAGTTTTCTTCTAGAAATTCTCCTTAGCAAACAGTTTTTAAATGTAATTGTAAGTTAAACAATTATCAGACACTGTGCTTCCCTTCACATTTGGAAAGACTTTATTACATTGTCATTTTGTGAATTGTCATGTAAAATTCATGATAGAAATCACAGTGCCTGGAAGGAGATCCTTGAGTTTTATTTTAGCTTTTAGGGCAAGGTCCAAAAACCACATACAGCAAAAATAGAGTGACTTTCTTATGAGAGCTGCATGTTAAATCATGTATTGTGGGAAGATCATGGTGCTTTTCATCCAGCATCCAATGTTTCTGCAAGAGACCTAGTGTTAGGATTGGGGCCGTGTCTCGGGATCAGACCCTGGGAGGGAATTGGATTTCTGGTCACATGTAATACAGGGTGGAGTGGGGAATTTCTGTGCATATTCTCAAGGTTGTTCATGGGGCACAGCCAGCAACACCTAGATCAAGATTCTTAACAATTTGTAAGTTGTGGGCCAGAAGCTAGAGGAGGGAAGGGTAAAGCAATGTCATACCAGGCTGAGCTGGAGCGGGATTGAAGTCCTGGTTCCTGTCAGCGTCTCCTATTCAGTAGCCCAAGAAAGTTACTACTGGATGATTCAGAGGAACACTTCATTTTGGTTTAGCCCATGGACCGTTACTTGGAGACATTAAGTAGGTGTACGGATGTTTTTTGGGTGTGTGTTATGCTTTATACTGAAGCATTCTGCAAATGCTGATGAGCTTTTAAGCATATGATGAATATGAAGTTGTAAATTTTCATTTACTTCCCTAGGTAATGGTCATTAGCAGTACAGCAGAATACACTTTACTTAAAGAAAAAATGTTTTGTTTTTCTATTTTTAATTTTGTGTGCCAGTATTATGAAAAATCAGATTTTTGAGGATCACAGTTGTTTCTTCCCTGAAATAGAGTTTCTTTGACTGTGCTTATGTTTTGGTGGATTTTCTCAGATTCACAAGAACAGGTGAAACAACATAAAGATTCCTGTGTAGTCTAGGGAGAAACTTTTCAAATCTATCCCTAGTGATTTCTTTAATTAATATTGCAATTTCTGAAATGGGGCGGGGAGGGGAGAAACAACTTGGCCTTTTTAAAAATGAACGCTTTTAAGACATTCTCCAGTTTTTACTTCTGCTCATTTATAATCAGTCTTTTAAGTTTGGCCTTTGAAACACTTTGGAAGGTGCTGGTTAGTTTGCTTCAGGTGGTAGAACTAAATCTATGTTTGTGTGCAAGATTGGGGTGTTTTAGCTATTCTCCTTTTTATACAGCTAGTTGAAGTTAGAACAGGGGGTGTTTTTTTCTTTTCTAAGAAGGAAAATTGGATGTAAAACTGCATAAGTTGATATGGGATGTCTGACTTCTTTATTTTTTTCTATTGCTAGTTGATCTGGTTGAATTCTACTTTTAGTCTTCCATTAGTACTATATGCCTTTTAATAATATCTGTGGGACTACTTACTGGCATGTGTCTGTGATAGAAGATATTATTCCAAGTTTATTATAAAGCAGATCTTGCTCAGAATAGGTGCCCATGTGAAATAATTCCACTGCAGTAATTATTCCAAAATAAAATTACTTTTTATTTCAGATGCAGCATTCATATAATTATCTTTTCAAGCGCTTATTCCCTATATTTTGATTTTCTCTATGGAGACAAAGCCATAGCCTAACTTTTATCTGTCCCTATATTGTAGCAAGGTTAAAAATTACAGTTCAGAGAAGTGCTTACAGAGGGGCACTAAGGCAGCTTTTAGACCAGCTAAAACACTGTATCCTGTCTTAGCTCTCAGAGTTCTGAGTAGTGCTAGTTCATACTTCTTACAGGACTGTTGACACCTCCCATGTATCTCTCATCTCTGATATCTGACTGTTTTCAGAATATTTTATGGCTTGTTTGCAGTGGCTGATCTACATTGCTTGTTATTTCAGAAAGTGTAGTTCATAAGTGGATGAATGCCGTGGTTGGACCCCAGCCAGCAATTAAGCACCACACAGCCACTAGTTCACTCCCCCTGTCCCCAGTGCGATGGGGGAGAAATACAGAAAAAAAAAGAAGAAAAGTAAAATTCCTGGGTTGAGATAAAGACAGGTTAATGGGACAGAAAAGGAAGTGGAAATAATAATAATAGAATATAC